AACTTCTTTTAGCTGAAGCATTTCTGGGCCACCAGGGCTTGCAATCATTACCGCCTTCATTCTTTTTCAGTTCTTCTCACTGTTGCTTCGGTGTGTGGGTGTGTGAGAGAGCGAGTGTGTTGATGCGGGTGGACGCTGGAGTCTCAGCGACTCAGCCTTTACGGTGGATTGCATAGTTGCTTAACAGGGAAAATATGCAATTGGCGTAATTTTTTTAAAAATTCATTTTTTCTTACAACTTCATATTTTGTTGGCATGTTAGATGGAGTTTGGATTTTTAGTAAATTTTAATAAAAATTAATGATATAGGTGATTGAAAAGTTGTGAATCTTATTAAGCCTCCGTTTGAATCTTATTTTTCCAAAGATTTCTCATTTTACTACAGTAGAATTCTGGCAAAAACAGAAGTCTACAATGGGTTGTGTCAGAGTACATGTTCCACACACTTGACCGTCGACATACTTTGCCCATTTTACCCTCAACTCAAATTGCAAATTGCATCATGTGCCACACCTACCACTTTATTTGAAAGACAAAACTTGAAGGGCATTATGGGAATTTTTTAAAAGAGGGAAACACATTTTCAGACACTGTCAGCGCCTTATGACAAAGAGTTGGCCACGGGTCCCACACGTAATGAAACAACTGTTGAAAAATGAGTAAAAAACAGGTGTCAAACAGGGCCTAAATATATGATTAAAATTAATTATTGACTTTAAATTAGATTAAAATCTTAACTTTTATTCCAAGCAAAGGCTATGTGAATTACTTTCTCATCATGTACTCTTAAAAAATTATTTTTCACAAAATTTATTCCTAAAAAATCTACATTAAATAAGCGCTGACAGCTCATTTGGCATGATGTTTGAAAAATCGAAAATAGTTTTTGAGATCCAAAAGTTGCTTTTGTACTCATTTGATTAATTTTATAAAATTGGGGTGCGTTTGATTGTAAGGGTGGAAAATAGGTAGAAAGAAAATGTTTTACAGATAAACGATTTTTCTAAAAAATATTTTGCAGGAAAAATGATTTCAACTGTATTTGATTGGTATAATTTTTCACCTGAAATTTTTTAAAAATTTTGGATCTTTTTGTTCACGTTTGACTTTATTTTATATGAAAATTGTTCATTAAAAAATTTTTTTTTTACAATTGATTATGAAATTTGTTACCATTGTCAAAAAGTAAAAAAAAAAGTTTGCTCGAAAACTATTTTTTCACCATTTTTTATCAAAATATAGTGTTCGTTTGGCTTCGTTTTACATGACAATTATCCATTAAAGTGAATTTTTTTTTAACAATTGGCTATAAAATTTATTACCATTGTCAAAAAAAAAAAAAAAGTGGCCGGACTTGGAATTCATTTTCCCACCAAAATGATGGGAA